CTCTTTTTATATATATACGCAGTGCTTTAAAGATAATATGCCAAACAAAGAATGGACCCTCTAGCCCAAAGAATGTTATGGAGGAGGGATAGCTCGGTGGTTTGAGCATTGGCCTGCTAAGCCTAGGGTTATGAGCTCAATCCTTAAGGGGGCCATTTAGGGATCTAGGGCAAAAATCTGTCAGGGGATTGGTCCTGCTTTAAGCAGGTAGTTGGACTAGATGATCCCCTAAGGTTCCTTCCAACCCTGATATGCTATGGTCAGAAGAGGCCTGAGTGGGAGCAATAGACTAGATACAGTGGCTGGTGGTCATTTCATCTCCAATGCTCTTTCTACTTCACTTAGCTACATGGACCCTAAAAATTATACACCAAATTCATCCTGGGTGGATCTCCAATGAATGAAGTTAAGGAGGTTACATAAAGGAATGGATTTGACTCAAAGGATGTTGTGACACTTAGCTAGTGAGGGTTAAATGACCAGCAGGCTAAGTGACCCAAAATCAACCTCTAAGAACATATTACAGAAGTATTGAAATGGTAAACAGGGTCATTTTTTTGTAGATAATTATCAAAGCCATTACATTCTTTGAAATGTAAACCTTTATTGTCAAAGAATTAGAAGTAGATACGAATTGTATGTCTGTGTTTACCTATATCTGTTAGAAGTTTATCAATGTTATCTAATTAGTTTGTAGATGATCAACTTCTATTCCTGTTACTATATTCTATTGATTCAGAAATCAAAAAGGAATATTAACATTTAGATGAAACTTGTGGTGTAATAATATCATTGTCTATATTTCTCTTTGAAGTTTGTAGTAAACTGTCTATGAATTGCTTCAGTGTTTAATTACCTTATGCTAATGAATGCAGCTAGTTACCATTGTGTGCCTAGGATATAGAGATTTACGTCAAAGCAACAATGTATATTACCCATTCTTCATCCAAGGAATGCCTGCTGTGATATTTGCTGTCAAGAGGCTATTAGCCCACTAGAGAACTATAAAGGAAGCTTGAGGCCTGATGATTACTCTCTCAGATTTGCAAACTTTGTCAGAGGAAGTTCAAGCCTCAAGATTGAGGTCTCCCAGTCCATCCGGATTAGCACTACTATTTCTCATGGAAGAATTTGAACAAACTCTGCACAGAGACTGCAGTTTTAGTTTTTAAACTGATTCCAGAAGGACTTTTACAAATCAGCAACCTCGCCATCTCTCCAAAGAAACTGACCTAAGACCTTTATACATACAGATGTCAATAATGATCTTTTAACCACAGAAACTCTTTATTTTTTAATAAATCTTAGATTAGTTAATAAGAACTGGCTGTAAGCATGTATTTGGGTAAAAACTGGAATATTCATTGACCTGGTGGGTAATGTGTCCGATCTCTTGGGATTGGTAGAACTTTATATATGGTGAATAAGATTTTAAGTTATCGTCACTATATTTGACTTGGCTGTCTGGGTGGGAGCCAAAAGGCTGGATTGCTTAAGGGGAACTCTGGTTTTTGGCTTCTTGGTAGCCAGTAAGAAGTAAGGTATTAAAGAAGCTATTTTGTGACTGGCTTGGTGAATCTAATTATAAGAATAAACCACCAGTTTGGGGATCTTCTGCCCCATTCTTTACAGTTTGCCCTGATTGAGCATTCTCAGTATGGCCCCTCCAGCAACCACGGTCACAGATGTCTATACACTAGACTCTTTAAATAAAAACTCCTTCCATTGCTATCACTCTTGAAGCTTCACCTGTGGTAACAACAGAATGGGCTCTAGTGTAGACCACATACTAGTAAGGTGACCAGATAGCAAGTGTGAAAAATCAGGACGAGGGTGGATGGGTAACAGGCACCTACATAAGACAAAAGTCCTGAATATTGGGACTGTCCCTATAAAATCGGGACATCTGGTCACCCTACACGCTAGTGTTTTAAGCTCTGTGTCATTTAACCCTGATCAGAGCAGGTTTAGATGACACAGTGATTAAAGAGACTCTGGCTGCCTGAAGCCATCTAGTCTTTCCTGTTGCTACTACAGGTGGAGCTGTACTTGTGATAGCTATGAGGGAAATTCTATGAGAAAGTCTTGTGTAGATAACACCAAAGTTATCATATATTCCTGTCCAAAATCAGAATGATACTCTTCATTTTTGATGTGGGAGGGCTAAGGATGGCAGAATAAAAACTTACAAAACTAATCCTTAATACCCTGGAATATTTTCAGCTACTTCCAAGTACATAACTACAATAGTGGGTCTTGGTTTAGGGAAAGTATTTGAGAATCTACTTTCTCAGACCAGAATGATTACAAAATAAGGGGAGACTATGGGCCTGATTCTGATTGGTTTTAAGTTGGTGTAACTCCATTGATTCCAGTACAGCTACTCATAAATGAATACCAATGTAAGTAAGACCAAACCCAGCCACTACTTTAATAAACTTATGATATATAAACTGAGCTGCTGAAACCAGAGAACTCTGGAAGACAATTCAGGAAACAAGAAGTCATGATTAATGAGAACACTAATATATGTGTTTAGATTACAAGGCAGAAGCAATGACTTGTCCATGGTGCAAACCAAACAAGTTTTAAACATACCTTCACTGCACAATGAGACTCTGCAAAATTTCTTATTAATCTTTCCTTACCTTGAGTCAGCAGCTCCATCTCTATCAATATGACAGCACAGCAGAGCTCACAGTAATAAACTTTTAACTTACAGTTAACTTACTGAGTCATTTCCCTGATGACAGCAAAATATAGAGTCAAAAACAGCAATACTATTTGCAATAACAACCTGTGAAGTTTTTTAATGAGATATTTTATTAGAGAAACTTTGTTTAGGAGAATCAGAAAGGATAGGCTTGGGGCTTCATATCTGGCTGGCTTTCAAAAAAACACTAACTGCACTTCAGATGAAAATAAGTTCAGTTTAGAATATAAACTCTTATGTGGGAGGATCCTGTGTATTTGCACCAGTGCCTAGAACAATGGGATCCTGATGCTGATTAGGGCCTTAGGGAGCTATGGCAATAGAAGTAGTAGTTGTAGTTGTGTGAACAGGAGAGGAGGTAGCTTTAATAAAATTTAAATTTGCACTCTTTCAGTATCCCTATTAGGAAGGAAGCTAAAAGGGGCAGCCATTGCTAAGTGACTATTCTGGAGACAACCCAAAATGTACAAGTTATGCATGCCATGCTGATCTACAAGGAAAAAGTGATACAAACTAGTGTCAATTTAAAAACAATTTAAAATTAAAAAAATCAAGCCAACTTTTAATAGAGTAATACATTTTTCAAAGGCTGAGTTTTCTTTCAGGATTAAAGTGGGACAGTTTTCTAGTGTAAAGTACAGATGAAAGACAGGAGAGGTAGTCAAGGATACTAACAATGCACGCTGTGTTCATGCTGGCTTTCTTCCCCCAACGGGGAGTTCACATCATTGAGCACTAGCAGAATAACAAAATCAGCCTCTATTTTATTCTTGGCAGCAAGAAAGTGTGAATACCCTTCCTCAATGCATGATTTTTAGTTCCTCTGGAATCCTGCTTTTATGTCATCGTGGCCAGAATAGGTGATGTCTGGTCTCATCCTTTCTTGAAAGTAATTCAGTGTAGGTATTAGATGTGTGATCAGAATGGGCCAGTGAATGATGCATTTGGAATTTTTGGATAAGTATCTATTCCGAAATTGTGCCTGGTCCACATGTCTTGGGTCTAGCACTCTGTAGATTCAAATTACATGCAAAGTGAAAGGATAATGATTAAGGCTAAGATTTAGTCACGGATGTTTTTAGTAAAAGTCACAGACAAGTCACGGGCAATAAAGAAAAATTCACGGAAGCCCATGACCTCTCTGTGAGTTTTATTAAAAATATCCGTGACAAAATGGGAAGCTGCGGAGACTAGTCCCCACACCGCCCATGGTGGATGGGCAGCTGTGGGGCCATGGCTCGGAGCTCCGGGGCACTGACCGCCCCTGGAGGTTCACAGCTGCAGGGTCCCCTGCTGCCTGTGGCCCAGAAGCATGGGGTCCTCTCTCCACCCCTGGCAGCCTGGAGCCCCGGGGCACCCCCGCTGCCCGTGGTGGCCAGGAGCCCCTGGGGCGCCCCTGCCAGCTCGGGGTGGCCAGGAGCTCTGGGGACACCCCTGCCGGCTCAGGGTGGCGAGGGGTACCCTGCAGCTCCCAGATGCCATGGGCTGAAGTCACACAACTCTCTAGAAGTCACGGATTCTGTGATTTTTGCGACCTCCATGACAAAATCGTAGCCTTAATCATGTTTGCTCATCTGTTGCATGTAAGGGTTTAGGAATTAGCAGCAGTACTGAAAGAGGTAAGTCTCAATGTCACTGTAAACACACAATAATTCAAAGAACACAGCTGAAGAAACAGAACTATTAACTGAATATTTTCTCTTCACCGCATTGCAGGATTTTCCAATTAGTGCAGGAAGTCTTTTCATAAACTCTCATTGAACTTTTAAACTAAATGTTCTCTGCAGAAGAAACGACAAAGCATTTGAAAGTACAATGATACACTGATGAAAGAACACAAGAATCAAAACTGGCAGAAGAGATTTATTTCAAGGTGGGGGGGACATAGTTTTGGAACTAACACTGGACAACAAGCCTGAACAAGAGTAGGATTGTGAGAAGCAGGAGTGTGAAAGGAGTTTTGAAATCTCATTAACCTCAAACTTACAGGAAAGGAATTCCAACCTCCTATTCAGTGACCATCCCTGACTGGAGTGGCAGCAACAGTATTAAGTCAATAATTTTTTTTTTTAAAGAGTAAGGTCTCAAGTTCAAAAACAAAGTGTAAGATTCCTCTCCCCCCCCCCCCCATTTTGAGAGGTTTCAAATTCCAAGGCAACCACAGCCTTAGCTCAAACTTGTGTTTGATATGAGGATATAATGCCTGTGCCAAGCTTGCCTCCCTCAGGGCAAAAGGACAGAGGGAAGAAGGAGCCTTGTAAGATATCATATAAAATACAATGCAAGATTTTATTTGCCATACAAGACTTTATTTGTTAGTTACAGGATTTAAAGGCTATTGAGAGTCAAACCATAGCATAACAAGGTTAAGTTGAATTTAATGTGCAGTGTATACTACTACAGAGTTTGTGCCTTTTAAAATAAGCATTTTAGGAAGTTATAGAGTCTGATCTTGTAAAAAAAAAATAAAGTCAGTGATAACACTCTCATTGAAAGCAAGACCAGGTTCATAATCCCCAATCTACTTATTCTGGACACTTTACCTACATTATTTATAATCAACACAACCTTTACCAAGCATAATATTTTAAAAAGATTAAGTAGCAAGTAAAGCAAGGGGCCACTGGAGCTGTTGCAGGTCACTAGCAAATAGATGTAATGTACATGCATGTGTTAAATGAAAACAAAAACCTTGCTGTTATCCTAGAGTTAATGTCTGAATACTCAGTATAATCCATGCTTTTATTGATCCATAGACACCTGAAAGCAGAAACAGTCTGAATTGCTTTTATTACAGTATTTTTCTTCCCACCTCTTAGTTTGCATTAGAGACTGAAAATACATCTGATAAGAATTAACCTTTAGACATGGGTGGATCTGCATATGAACCATTAGTACTACTCTTCGGTTAGGTACTTCAGTAGGTATGAAATGGGAGTGTTTGAGGTATAAATCCTTGCAGAATTATCATTTCTGTCCTCAGACAAATCTCCACAGCACTGTCCGCCTCTCAATCCCAAGGAGATTTCAGATGTAATGTAATGCTGTCTGTCACCGCTTATGTTGTTTTCCTCTGCATCTAGTGACCACCCTGCAAATGCAGTTTGGAGACAGCAAAAATTGTCAGAATGGCTCCTGAAAAAGTGATTTTATGGGACTGGGAAAGCTGGAAGGCAATGTGGGAGTACAGGACCTCTGCCAGGTCTATTGGATTTCTTAATGGCAATTCACAGTACATTGTTGTAGTTAATAGTAACATGCTGAAATGATTCTGGATTTTTTTTTAAATTATAGTTATTCATTACTTCCACAGGTGTACACATGACTTTACAAACATATTAGAAGATGAGGCTTTTCTTCAAGCAGTTGACAGTCTAATCTAGATACATATACCCACATTAAATACCAACCACAAAAGTGGGAGCAGGTCGCTGAAGACAAACTTAATATTTTCCTTTTTATTGGGATCTTTATTGTAGAATCCCAGTTTTTACTAACAATGGGCATGAAGTTTGTGTATTTTAAGGGTTTCCTCTATCTTCTTGTTAATACATCCAATTCTTTGTATGGTTAGATAAAAAAAAATATTCCCTATCTAACCCAGTTATTTATATAGAAGGTTCTTTCCCTTCCATGCTGAGAGTTCTTTCCCTTCCATGCTGAGAGTTCTTTCCCTTCCATGCTGTGTGTTCTTTCCCTTCCATGCTGAGAGCTCCCTTCCACTCTGAGAGTTTATTGACAGTATACAGAGGGCCTGATCCTGCACCATTTAAATCCATGGGACCTTTGCCATTGGCTTCAGTGGAAACAGTACTAGGAACTAGATGATATTGAGATTGGCCATTTCCTCTTCTAAGTGTTCCTGGCAATATTGTCTAGTGCTCTGTGTGGTTTGATGGTGAAGATCGAGAGACAGAGCTCAGATGGCCAAAGCATAAGATTTTTAAAATCAGAGTTCAAACAGTACGAATAACAAACAGGTTCCAACTAACATCAGCTTTTCAACACAGCTTATAAATTTTACTTCCACACAGCTGCCTGTGTTTATCCGTTGGCACCATTATCTAAACACCACCAAGTAAATAATGTTGTTTATCAGGTATAGTGCCTGGAATGCAGACAGATCCACACAGTTATGCTTTTTAAAATTTAAAACATTCAACCTACGATGTTTTTTCCCTTTCCTGTGTCTACTTTATATCCTATTAAATACTTATTCTGAGGTCCAGAAGGAGATGAGAGGCCGACCAGTTGAAAGTCTCTGAGTAAAGATAAAAGGGGGACAGAAAATAGAGCGATGGCCTTGTAGGGTCTTCTATATACCACCAAATCAGAAAGTGGAGGTGGATGAGGCATACTTAGAACAAAGAACAGAAATATGCAAAACAAGACCTGGTACTTTGGGAGACTTTAACTACCCAGACATCTGTTGGAAAAGTAATACAGCAAAACAATTTTATTAAGTTATTTGAATGTACTGGGAACACCTTTGTTTAAAAAGTGAAGGAATTGCCTTCCACCTTCAGATTCACAACCAATTCATCCCTGTTGGTCAGGATCAAGTCTAAAATGGCTGTCCTCGTGGTTAGGTACAGCCACTTTTAGTACTTGTAT